TATTCAAGCTAAAATTCTTTAGGGGAAGTATCAAAGACGGAGGCAAAATAAAGACTGTCCTCATGCATGCAAAACCTGAATGACGTCTTGCCGGCAGACCAACACTAGAAGAAATTCTGAGCGAAGTCCTCAGACAGAAGGAATATGATACAAAATGGCAACGTAGAACCACACCAGGGTCTCACCCTCAGCACTGTGACATTGTGGCCCAGATAATCTGTCGTTGTGGGGCAGTCCTGTGCATTATAGGATGTTAGTGGCTTCTACTCCCTAGAGCCCAGAAGCACCTACCCCCAGTTATGACAACCAAAATTATTTCTAGGCATTGTCAAATGTCCCCTGGAGGGAAAAGTCACTCCCTGTTGAAAATCACTATATTGCCTAGATTTTTCTTTTCTTTCAAATTTTTCATCCCTTTGTGCTTTTGAGCAATAATCTAAGAGCATTCTTATGCTCAGGCACTCAGCTCACTAATTTTCTTTGTGCCTATTCTGTTCATCCCATCTATTGTTTGCCTTTTTTTTAAAATAGACTTTACTGGGGCACCTGGGTGGCTCAGTTGTTAGGTGTCTGCCTTGGGCTCAGGTCATGATCCCAGGGTCCTGGGATGGAGCCCCACTTTGGGCTCCCTGCTCCACGGGGAGTCTGCTTCTCCCTCTTTCCCTGCTCCCCACTTGTGTGCTCTCTCTCAAATAAATAAATAAATAAATAAATAAATAAATAACCAAACTTAAAAAAATAGACTTTATTTTTTAGAGCAGTTTTAGGTTCACAGCAAAACTGAGTGGAAAGTAGAGTCCCCATATACTCCTGCCCTTTACATGCACACCTCTCCCACTGCAGACATCCCACAAATGTAACATTTGTTACAACTGATGAACCTTTACGGACACATCACTATTACCCGAAGTCCATAGTTTTCACTGGGGGTTCACACTTGGTGTACATTATATGGGTTTTCACAAATATATACTAGAATGTATCCATTATGATAGTACAAGCATACCTCCAAGATATTGCTGTTTTGGTTCCAGAATGCCACAAGAGAGCAGATACCACAATAAAGGGAGTCAAATGAAGTTTTTGGTTTCCCACTGTATATAAAAGTTATGTTTACACAATACTGCAGTCTATCAGGTGTGCAATAGAATTAGGTCTTAAAAAAAAAAACAACGTACATATCTAATAATTAAAAAATACCTTATTGCTAAAAAATGCTAACCGTCATCTGAGCTCTCAGTGAGTCATAGTCCTTTCGCTGGAGGAGGTTCTTGCGTTGATGTTCGTGGCCGCTGATGGATCAGGGTGGTGGCTGCTGAAGGCCGGGGTGTCTGTGGCAGGTTCCTAAAATAAGACAGCAGTTTGCCGCATCGATTGACTTCCTTTCACGATTTCTCTGTCGCACGTGATGCTGTTTGATGGCATTTCACCTACAGGAGAACTTCCTGCGGCCGCTTTATCACCTAAGCGTACGTAATGTCCTAAATCCTGTGTTGTCCCTTCAACGGTCTTCACGGCATCATCACCAGGACTAGACTCCGTCTCAGGAAACCACTTTCTTTGTTCATCCATAGGAAGCAACTCCTCATCCCTCGCGTTTTATCACAAGATTACAGCAATCAAGTCCCATCCTTCCAGCTCCACTTGTAATTCCAGTTCTCCTGCTGTTTCCAGCCCATCTGCAGTGGCTTCCTTCACTGAAATCTTCAACCTTCAATTTATTAAAAACCCATTATCTTAGAAGCACAATAAATCAAAGAACAATGAAACAAGGTATGCCTGTATCATTCAAAATAGTTTTACAGCCCTACACATCCTCTGTATTCTATTCCTTCTTCCCTCCCCCCAACCCCCAGCAACTCTATTGAGTTTTTAAAACTTGATTATAGTTTTTGTCCAACATCTTTTTTTTTATTTGTTGTTTCATAACGCCCTTAAAAAAAACAAAAACAAAAAAACCCAAACCAGCCACTTACCTCCTTACCGAGTTTCCTCTTTTAAAGACTTACTTGGATAGCTCTGCTACCTTTGCCCTCGGGCATGAGTCCTATTGGTGGCGCTTACTATCTGGCATTCCTTAAAGGTTTGGTCTTTATTGAGCCTTATCTCGGTAATTAAGACATCCTTCCGGTCCTCCTTGGTGGCATCTGTTTTGACCAGTCCACGGGGAACAGCCGAGGCTGCGGCCTGTTGCACCAGATACGCTTTTAGGAAGAGTGAGGAGGAAATTGCTGCCTCAGCAGCTGGTCCTCTGTATGCGGGTACTCTGTTCTGTCTAGGTGTCTGTCACCAGCCACGTGGGCACTCTCTGGTCTCTGACTCCACTACACTCATTGTATCCACCCGGAAACACAAACCCTCTAACTACTGCCTAATTGGTCCAAGAAGGGCTTGAGATGAATCGTCTTGTCAGCTGTCCCTGGGCGCCCTCCAGCTCCCATCCACACCACCTCCCTGCAGATTTAGAGAAGGAAACCTGCCCCCTACCTTTCAATTTCCCCCACCCACTTTTGCTCTTACTCTCATGCCTTCTCAACGCTTCCAGGACTTTGGCTCTTTCTTATCTCCAGTGTCCTTGTCAGCTACCGCCCTTCAGCATATAAACACATTCAGGCTCTAAAATATTTCCCTTAATCTTGTACCCCCTTTTTTGGCTCCCTCCTTCCCTTCTCAACCTTTGGGAAAGGGTTGACCAGATTCTTCATTCTTTTGTGTTCCACCCATCCCTCAACTCACTGCACACTTTTCTGCCCTCTTCCCACTGCCATACTAAAATTTCTTGACCTAAATGCATCAGTGCCTCCTCATCCTCGTATAAGGTAGACACTTTCCACATGTCCTCTCAGCTGCACTTTACACTTTCATCTGTTCTTGGACATTCTTTCCTAATTCCCTTTCCTTTCCTCCTCTTTGGATTGTCCTTAAGCTCCGTGTATCTCCTTGCTTCTTAAATTTTGGTGTGTCCTTGGGGCGCCTGGATGGCTTGGTGGGTTAAGTGGGGACTCTTGGTTTTGGCTCAGGTCATGATCTCAGGGTTGTGGGATGGAGCCCTACCTTGGGCTCTGCACTCGGCACAGGGTCTACCTGAGATTCTCTCTCTCTCCCTCTGTTCCTTTGTCCTGCTCTCTAATAAACCTTTTTTTTTTTTTTTTTTTTTTTGACAGATTGCATAAGTAGGCAGAGCAGCAGGCAGAGGGAGAGGGAGAAGCAGGCTCTCCACCCAGCAGGGAGCCCGATGTGGGACTCGATCCCAGGACTCCGGGATCAAGACCCGAGCCGAAGGCAGACGCTTCACCGACTGAGCCACCCAGGCGCCCCTCTCTCAAATAAATCTTAAAAAATATTTTTTGGGGGGG